AAAGAATCTGGTTGGTTCTGTAAAGTATAGGTCTGTTCCGTATAATAGGGTTGAGATCCTAAAGCTAATGTTGGTTAACATCGAATGTCACTTTCTTATTTGCTGTGGTTTGTTGGTGTATATCGACAAAAAGTCATGATATCAAATCAAAAACACCTTAGGAGTGAAAAAAGGAGCGGTCGAAAAAGGATTGAGCGTGCGACTTAAAAGGAATGAAATCAAAATTGGCGGCCAAACTAGTAGCTACACTTATAGCATTGATAAGAATTTTACAGCAAATATTCATTCATTAGTTAGCCAGGCCGCGTATTTTGTTTTACTAACCACCATGCCCTGATTCCTTTTTTTTCTTTTTGGCCACACCTTTTTTTCACACCTAAGGGTGTTTTTGATTAGATACTTTATACAGTGTATGCGTAGCAGGGTTTGTAATTTATAGTCGTGTTTACGCACAAATGAATAATGAATTTTATCCATCATTTATTTTACAAATTTCACTGTGACTATTACATGATAAATATCTTTTTCTTCTTGTCCCTAGAGTGTTTAGACTTTTCAATTTTAAATAAGTAGTTTTTAATATAATTGTTTGTTTGTAATTAAGTACAAAGCTACACAATGGGCTATCTGTGTTCTGCCCACCACGGATATCAAAACCCGAATTCTAGCGTTGTAAGTCCGCAGACATATCGCTGTGCCACTGGGGGTGGGGCTTTTAATATAAAATAATATAAAAAGACTATTGCTTCGTGTGGGATTTTTCTTTTTCTACAGCCATTAAATTGGTATTCATTTGAATTTTCAAATGTTGCTTGAATACATTTAATACTTCTATGAAACAAAACGCTTAAAGTAACTTGTATAGCGAGCGTCAATATTAATTAATTACTTTAACTAGAATTTTTTTTTATAATTGATACAATTGTAATTATGACAAACTAACACGAAATATTTTATGGTATCTAAAGCACGAAAACGTTTATGTTACTTTTTCAATATTTTCTCGCATTTATTATTTTTCAGTCCTCTTGTTTAACAAATAATCTATTAGCATACCACAGGTTATAAATTAGTTCTATTACCGTGAAATAACAAAATTAACTTACTGTAGATTGAATTAAGTTAGCTTTAAAACGCTTGGAAAACGGTGTTTTTTTTAGTACACTGAACAAAGAACCATAGCAACATGACTCACTCTTACGGCAAATTGTCTATATAGCCACATAAATTACTCTATATCTGATGGTAGAGACACATATCCCCACCTTACACACTGACTCTCCTGTAAGTTAGATTATCCCACCCGTTTCCCCACCCACCAACCTTTTTCTGTTACGTCCACCCGCACTAAATCTCTTGACGCTCCTCTTTTAAAGCAAGCACACACCGTGTTGCTATAGCAACCCCTCCCCACGAGGTTAGCGAAGTGGCCTAACTGTAGCATGAGAGTTACTGTTAACGCACTGATCGTCAGGCCTTTGCTGTACGTGAACGCAAACTATCGATAGTGAAACCAGAGTCGTTGCAGATCGAAGTGAAACTCAGGAATCGGGCGATGTTTAAGAGAAAGTTGCCGCTCTCCCCCCTCTAAGTACCATTCTAGCTGGAACTGACGAAAAAAAAACTCGAAAGGGGCTGGCAAGTAGCAACATTTGATGAACCTAATAACTTCTACATTTAACTTAACGAGTCACAGAACAGAATGATTATCTAAACAATTAAGAAGATTTTTGTAGATAACGTGAAAGAATGGATAAATAGTGCTAATCTTTTCTGGTTTCGTGATGGTTAATTTGGGACCTACAACTGGTTTCAGAAGATCTATCTCTTCATAGAATTCCATAATGCATCGAAAATTGCTTATATTAACATCTTTGTCTTTATTTCTGCTATATTCAGATGGTAAGTTATATATAAATATATATTTATTTAATGTTAGTTTTTGCATTTGGAGTTATATATAAATGTATAAATGAGTAAATCATGTTTAAAAACACAGGCCCTTATATGTCAAATTGACCACACAATACCGAGAAGCAATCTCAGTCCCATAGTTTCCGAATATGGCTGTTCTTGAAAGAATGCCTAAGTCAGGTTAGTAGATCACGTAACGAACGCTTATAGTGCACGAGCATTCCAGAATCCTATATAGCAAACAAATAAATACAAGTTGGTATAGAACGTTGAATTACACACAGAAAATCTAAATTGGTAAAATAACGAGCCTTTATACTCTATAATCTCTGATATTTTATGTGTATGTAAATACAGACATTCATATTAACTAAGTATGCATCACTAAATAATTAAAGTACCTTTAATAAAGCGTATTCATAACCTTCAACTAGAACGTAAGAAAAATATATTTATTTGCTTTATTCGCTCATTAGGAGTCATACTGTATTTATCTCTCTCTCTCTTTTTTTTTATCAGTTGCCAAACAAAATCATATTTCATCAAATTCCTTGGGGGAACTTAGGAAAAGCACAATATAATTTTTTATTCCCTAAATGTCCGAGAGGGCTTTGCAGAAATATTCGCGCACTGTTATCTTTTAATATATAAGGTTTACTTTCTCAAAAAATACAAAAATCTGAAAGACTCGACCTCTTACCTGAAGAAACTGGAGTAAAAATCATCAGTCAGGTTCTTCTAGTTTAGAATGGTCTGGCGGTTAGGCCACTCGACTCACAAGCGTGATCGAAACCCATCACCGACTTATTACAACTTCAATATTAGGCGTGATCGAAACCCATCACCGACTAATTACAACTCCAATATTAGGGTCGAATAGTTCAGATAACCCTCTGCACGAAAATTAACGAAACAAATATACAGATTTATCCAAGTAAAAATATTACAACTATGAATAACCATGACTCCCTTTCCGATACACAGTGCGTTAGTAGAATCAGATAGCATCAGCTTATCGCCGTTACATATAATAATACTTAATTTTCGTATTCTTAATTTTTTTTAAAAAGATATGGAAATTTTTTGTTGTTTTTCAGTATTTAAAGTACATACTGGAAGGATTTGGACATTTAGTAATAAAAAACTTTTTATTTCAAACAACATTTCACCATTGCGGCTTCATCAGAACTAATAGTATAATAACTGATAACCTGTGCCGTAGATAAATAACTACTAATTTCATCCGTTCATAATTAGTATAGAATCTATCTATATTTATTTGATATAGTGTTATTTCTTTGGATTTACCCCATGAATTGTTGGAAATAACTTTTTTCTATATCCACCTGGATATATCTATTTTAATGAAAATAAGGTTTAAAATGCAGTTCAGACCATAACATAACATTTGTTTTTTTATAAAAAATACCTGCAAGTATCAGCTAAGTCAGATATCCAACGTAGAAATAGAATATTTAACGTAAAGTTATTAGATGTTAGATTGATTTTGTTTTGCAGAAATTCGTTAACAGGGTTGATCATTGCCTACAACTCATAATGTGGGTTAATTAATGAATAAATACCGTACATACACCTTTTAACATATTACAAGTTTATTTATTACAAGCTTTCACGCGACTACTGTTTACCTACCATATCGCCAGCATGGTGTATTTTGTTGTCATTTACTTACCACAGTCAACCTATATATATATATATATATATATGTACGAGATTTCAATAATATGTAGCACTAGTGTTTGCCATTTATTCTTCTAAGCCCACTTTGTTATTTTGTTCATTATTTGTTACTGAGTTATACCAGTTACAGGAATTTCCACATCTCATCAGTAACCTTCTTATAGTTGTGGACTTTACATTATATATATATACGGTGTTTTAGCTGTTTTTGTTTATACTCACCACAGTGAAATGATCTGAAAAATATGTATTAAAATATTTTTTCCGCATTTTCGTGCAGATGATCTGCATATAGTTATGGTATTTTTGTTAACGAGATGTCAAAATATCATAAGGGTGTGATAATCCTTTTACATAAGTAGAGGTTACATATGGCAACGGCTAAAATTTTGCAACACTTTGGCTCTGTGTCTGTGTCCACTCCCTAGAGTGGGAGCGAACCCATTTCAATGGATGCCACAGATACTTGTACAAATTGTTACGAGTTAGTAGTTTTCTCCCCTTTATATGTTACTTTGAAAAGTCAGCGACGTACGAACCTTTGGATAATAGGATACCGCACTAGACCTCTTGTTTGATTTAAAAGTGTGATATAATTATTTCTCTCCTTGTCCTATGCGTGTAGAGAGGGGTTTAAAAAGTGTCTCTCCATCGTAGCACCCCAGTAAAGTCACAGTAGAAATTGAGAAAACCAATCTGGTGACAGTCATTCATCGTGACTAAAGATATTGTTTAACTTGTTCACTTGTGTTTCATTTGCTGTCCATGTTTGAAATTATTCTTTGCAGTACATTTCCGGAAACTGCGTTTTTGTGAATATTTTTAATAACCTGGCGGATAACAGCGTTGTGAGTACCACAACTTTATGCTATGCGATATGGGGTTTCTGAGTAACGAAAATCTTGACTATCTAAAACTCGACTATCTGACCACCTAAAAGGTAAGAAACGATTCCAATACATATTTTGCAATAAACATAAAAGAATACGTTTATGCAGCTTTGCGTCTAACAACAAACAATGAAGTTAAAAAATTCGGTAGAGAATGTGTAAATAACCATCAGGTTGGAGTATATGTGTTTCCAGGAATCTATTGAGGACCTCTATGCAGTTTTTGTGTGAGTGTCAACAAACTCAAACATTTTCAAAGGGTGTTAATGCTAAGCGCACTTCATGAATGCCCTCAGTCTGTTCAGGAGATGATAATACGCTTCAAGATTGAATTAGATAACATCAAAGCAAAACTGTATCAATAAAAGATGTCAGTTAATCTTGCTACGTTGTATTTTTAAGTAAAACTCCAGTTTGCTATGATTAGAAAAGAATTACAGAAACATGTTAAATCTGTGAAAGTAACTTTTAATAATCTTAATTCATGCTCTTTAACGTTGACCTTTTTTTTTTTTTCTTGTTTGATGTTAATTTAAGCATGAAGTAATTTTCTGTGTAAGTATATGTGTTTATATGGATTAATTAGGATAACTTTTAGTAGGTGTTTCCAAAACCTCACAGATTGGTTCTTAAAAATACTTTAAGGTCTTTGCAACACTTAGGAATTCTCACATATACATAGGGCTTGATACCCAAAATAAATACCATGACTTAATGTACTTATATGTAATTACGCAAATATATACATGTACATCACTTACAAAAGTTTCCAGAAACAACATTCCACATTTTCACATTTGTATCTGACAGCTCGAATAACATATTTCACATCCTAGATTTTAAGATTCTTTGTGTAAAATTCATCACAGTTTATTCTGTTTTATCCAACTTCTTCAAAGATCTGGAGTGGGGAAAAAGAGGTCATTCGCAAATACACGTTCGTTCATTGTAAATAAATTATTTGTACACTTGTTTTTTCTATGTATACCCATTTATGTCTTCAAACTTCTAATAATAAAACAAGCATAATTTCTATCAAAGAACTTAAATAAAAAGGTGAATAGATACCTTAGTTTTAGTTATGGTGATCTTTGCCAGTAGTTATACAAGAAGCATAATACTTAATAGTTGCCAAAACAATCCACGCTACAGTAATAAAGAATATCAAATCGACTTATATATAGAAATTCAAGCTCAAATAGTAAAATATTATAGAAGGACTTGGTGCGTTAATAAAATTATTCACCGCAATTTATTACACATTTTTTGAAAACAAAAATATTTAATCTCAAAAATAAAAATTATTTTGTATTATAATTTGACTTCACAATTATATGTTATCGTTTGACAAACGCTACAAACGAAGAAAATATAATAAAGAAGGCCCCACCTCAGTGGCACTGCGGACTTGCAACGCTAGAATCCGGGTTTCGATAACCGTGGTGGGCAGAACATAGATAGCCCTTTGTGTGGCTTTGCGCTCAACTACAAACGAAAACGCATTTTTGTTCATCTGACATTGCGTAATAAACAGCTTCAAAATTTGTGGGTCCTTCAAAATGAAACGTTTCATTTTCTAAAATGGCAAGTGCTAACATTCACATAAATTACCACACAGTTTTCGATAAAATGCGCAGAACATTACGTTAACATTGTTTGTTTGTAAATTTGTTATAGAGCAAAGCTACATTAGGATCTTTGCTGTGTCCAGCAGGTTGTAATGTTGTAAGTCCGTAGGCTTACTGCTGTCTCATGAAAGACCATTAACACAGTGAAATTTTCAAAGTTCCTAGTATCTAGCTGTGAACTCGAATAAAAGTAGCTTAAAAGCATAACCATTTATATAATTCTCGTCATTAAAACACGTTTTTGCCTCATTTCTGCGCAGTATAGATACAGAAATGTGATAATGCGATTAATATTTTTGTTTTTTACTAAACTACACACTTTTCCTGGGCAAAAACAAAGCGTATTAGGCAGTATATTATTTTTTCCTAGTCTTCGAATGCTTATTGAAACCAAGCAAATCTTGAGAGATTATTTTACAAGTTTTTTTATTATATGTTAATTACGATGATTTACAAAGAGTTTGCATTGAAAATCTGGGTTTGATTCAATGGTTCTATCAAAAAATGTGTTAAAAATTTGTGTTATCTTTTATTTGCAAATTAACTCATTTTACGTATACGTGTCATGTGATAGTTATCATTGTATATAAAACATAAGACAGCAGCAACTTTTCTTTTGAATTGAAAGAAAATGAACTAAATATTTTACACATAATTAAAACCTATTCTGTTTCACTCGGTGATTGGTTGTTTGTAGATGGCGTTATCTTCGACGTCAGGAAATACAATGACATCAGTTAGTTAGTTCTATATGTCGACACAAGAGGGC